TCTGCCCAACTCACTCTCTCTCCCACTGTCTTAACGGTCTTACAGCTTCTCTCATCCAAACAGCTGTTTGGGGATATGACTGAGAGACCTGAGCGAATATCCTGCTCACTTGTGACGCCACTGACAGCAGAAGCGTTGCCTTCTCGGCAGCCTCAGAATAATTTTCCTATGGGCAGCTAATTTAACCAGGTGCAATGGCTGGTGTCTGCAGGGTGGTTTGATTCGGTGCCCTGTTTTATCTTCCCAGAGTAGTATCACTAAGGCATCAAGGGAAGCCCAGAGCAGTTTCCATAGTGCAGAACCTAGGACTGGCTTCACAACTCCTTGCTTCTACACAGTGCTCATGCTGTAACACTAAATATCCCCAGGAACATCAGACCCCAGATTTTCAGCACTGAAACCTCCCTTTGAAGCTAAAAAAGTGACCCAAAGCTCATAGTGTTTCTCCTGCATTTGCACTTAAGGATAGGAACATGACAAGCATATGAGCACACATGACAAATGTATTATAATCCATGGACGTCTCTGCAGTGATATATCTGAATGCACTGAAAACACTGAAAATGTTTCAGATTGAGTGGCAGACGAAATTGCTCTCTGAGGTTTGCTAATCCTGCAATGCTCAGCTAAGACTACAGCACTTCTGTCTGCAGGGCTGATGCAGTTGGTGCTGACTCAGAGGTTTCCGTACCATATTGCATTTTGTGGTCCGGTTGTCTCTGCAGTCTCCTCCCAAGATTAAATCCTGACTGTTTCAGTTCTGCCCGCGAACCCCCTCATAAGGAGTGGAAACAGTTCTGGAGACTTCAAAATGCTTTGGAGAAGACTGTTAGTGCTGAACAGGACACTCAGCCAAAAGAGATACAACAGAAGTCAAGTAATAGAGAATGTCATGTATTTCCCTCCCCGTGTTTTTCTTTTCTCTGAGAAAGAGAAACCCCCAAATTCTAAAACTAAACCAAAACAAGAAAAAAAATGCCTAAACTTTCCATTTCTTTCATAGAAAGAAAAGAGAGGCCAAATTCACCCCTCGCAGGTAACTCCACTGTCTTTCATGAGGTTGGATATGGAACTGATGGGCTCCGTCAAACCCATCTGTTCAGCTAAAGGAAAGGTTGGATAGCAGCATGTAAGAGGATGGAATTATGTTCCTTTTTTATTTTTTACATCTGTGTTACTCGGTTGGATGGTATCTTCTCCCTTTTCCCTGGTACTACAATTCACATCCCTGATACAAACCATCTGCCTGAGGACAAACCTCTGAAGGGAAAGGGCACCATGGATCATGGAGGTGGAGTTGGCCAGCTCCCATTTCTGGAAAATGAATGATCTTTTCTTTCTGACTATAGACCAGTGTGTTACACAGCGCAGATGAGATGGTGGGGAAGTTTTGACAGAAAACCATTTCTATATGGATGCACAATTCATCAGTCTACACATGGGCATCTGATGTCATTTTGGACACCCTACAGTCTCTGACATATCTGCCCGGGCTAAGACTTGTGAGAGTCCTGCATCACTGAAACAACGGCTGGATCCCAGTAAGATACTGTAAGGCACCTAAAATGTCACCAGATTCTTATATTATAGAGTGAAACTTTAAGTTCCTTCCCTACAGTTTTAGCAGAATAGGAGAACCTGTGACAGAAGAAAGCCATAGGTTGTATTTGGGCCATCTCCTAAACCAGGCCCAATGTAGGCATGATAATCTCCAGGGAGGGATGGCACCTCATTCATCATTGACTCAATCTTTCATACCAGTACAGTGGCAACCCTGGCTCAAGACATTTAGCGTAGGCAGTGGAGTGGGATCTTAAATTTTCCAAAGACACTTACTGGATTCATGTCTATCAGGGAGTAATGGCTCAAGTCCCTTCTTCAAAGTCAAGAGGTCAGACTCAGGCCCAGCAAGTGCTCTCAGCATGCTCCCCAGACCCCTAGCAGGCTTTGTCTCTTCCCTCCTCATGGATGGGCAGTCAGTCCCAGGACTAGGACTCTCAGATGCAATTGAGGTGGTTAACAGAATTCACGCAGGCATTTTTTCATTGACTTTAGTAGCAGCTGCTCAACGTCTTACATTATATCATCACAGTGGATGACTAATTACACAATAAAACCAAACAAGTACGCATAGGCTTCGTTAAAAATCCCTTAGATTGGGTGGAAGTCCCCAACCATTGAGCTCTTTCAGGCCTGACCCCAGCTTTGAAAGAAGGAATACAACTTCCAGCCCATCTCAGCTGATGACGAGATTGTGGCTTCACCTCCTTGACTCATGGTGGACTTCACATCTTCAGACTGTACCCATCTAAGAGCTCATCGTCTAGTATGAGCTCATCAGCTAAAGTCAGAGGAAAGACAGAGGCACACTCAGAGGGCATTTACCAAACATAGCTTAGATATCATCCTAGGCTATAATGAATCACCTTCTGGACTTGTTTCTTGCCATTAATCCTAGTAAAAAACTAAATAAATAGCTTAGACTAGATGGTATGATCAGATGAAATAAATCCCACTGCTGCAGTCAAGATCTGTTTGTTCACCTTAAGAGGCAATTGCTAAGCAAACACCTACTTTGTTTCTGGTTTTTCTTCCCCCACCCCGCTTCCCAAAGAGCTTCACCTGCTAGTGATGTTGGGCTTAGTTCTGGCAAAAAAGGAGAAACGGTGGATGCTAGCAGGCTGTGGATGGATTGAGGTCAGAATCCAGTTCCCATGCATGGAAGTCGAATCCTTCAACCCATTTCTTCACTAGTACAGTATAAAAAAAGGGAATTTGAAACCACCTTGCATAAAATATTAGGGTAAAATTATTTGTGAGTGTGACCCTGCTGAAGTCAATGGATTGACAGGGACCTTGACCTGCAATAATTTGCATCTTCACTGTCCAAGTACCATTCACAGACAGAAGTACCTGGTGCAGCATGTCTAACATCTCTGTCTTTGACTGTTAGCACCGCGTCGTATTAAGTAAATCAGGCCGATCTTCTTGTCCTGTCTTTTTCAATTCATCAATGTCCAACACCGCATGTGTGGTTTTCTTCAGTGTTTGCCTTCCTGACAGCTTGGGTTTGAATATGGGTTATTGTGGCAATTCCCCCTGCAGTGGCTTCCTTCTTTATTTGCCATAATGATCAGATTTTCCTTTTCTCCTAGACTGTATGACAAAAATCAGTCATGCATCTGTTAACTGGTCCATCTTCCTCTCACTTTTTCCGTTGCTTTCTAACAGCTGGTGTGTGGCCATCCACTGGGTACAAGATCTCCATGTCCAAATGCGATCGATAGGTTTTCTCCCCATTTTTTTCCCCTCTCTTGATCTCCTTCTGTCTCCTTCCCTCCCTTCTGTGTCTCTGCTTTCATTTCATTGCAGCTCTTTTTTTGTGGAGCATTGATAGAAGTGCCTCCATCAATAAGCAAAGCTTGCTTGTGCCCTTGGGCACAGCCCTGAGACAAATGGGTGATGCATCAACTGCACCAGCCTACGAGTAGTCCCAGGAGACGCCATGACTCAGAGTCAACCCTTGGAGGCATCATTTCCTCCTGTTTTCTCTCTGATGGGATTAAGTTCTGTTTTTTCCCTGCCTCTTCTGCATATTCCTCCTTTGGTTCCCAGGAATAAGTTGGCATGCAGGGAGAGAAGAGCACTTTGATTTCTCTCACAGAAGTCCAGGTGTGAACCAGCCAACAGCCACGGTTACATCGCCATGAAAAGACTCTTATCGGTCACGGGGAGTTAGACCATGCTTCATTTCTCTTCCTGTACTGAAGAGGAAAAGAAAATGCTAATCTGTTTTCCTTTTCCCAAGACAGGAGCCCAAAGGTATGGGTAAAGCAAAGATAACGCAGGATAAGTACATTTGAGGCTAAGAATGCTGTGAGTCTGTGCTGGATTCACCACTCATTTAGGCCGGTGTCTACCAGGAATAACTCGGGTAGAGTTCCAGTGCTGTAAATACCGAGGTGATGGGCTGATATTCATGCTTGGTACCTGGGTGGCTGAAGGAAGCCCTGATGCCCACAGAGGAGGTGAAAAGCTGTTTCTCTAAACTGGAAATCTTGATCTGAAATCAGGTAGAGCAGCATACAAAGACAGGGAGCCAGAGACGAATGGCAGAGATGGACCAGAGCTGCAAAGTTGGGATTTGGCTCTATGTCCAAACTTGCCCAAACTCTGAGCTGGTTCAGAGTTTGGGATTTGTGCATTTTAGTCAACTTTTATGACTTGTGAATGGCTGTAGAAATTAGGTCTGGAACACAATTTGGCTCGAGTCTGAAACTGTTCCGGCTTGTGGGGAGGTGGTTGTTGTGGGTTGGTTGGCCATCATGTAAATTAATGTGTGACAAGAAGTCCTTCAGAGTCATGTTCCCGACAGATCTGCGGTCTGAGGCTTTTGCTGAGTGCCCGCGGGGATGCCTGCATGAGACGCAGAGAGCAGATGGACTAAGTGCGCTTTCCACTGCTGGTGACGACGTTCTCTAACAAGGTGGGAGGGGTAAATATTTTCCCTTTCCTCCTCTATGGGAACAAGCTGGGATGCTGAGGAGCTGGAAGTCCGACGCTGAGGAGCAAGTGTCCAACCCCAGGAGATCTGCTCTGTACCATGTTTTTCCAAGGAAGACTTGTTGCCTAAGCAATGTACCAGGCCACAACAGGAGCAACACCTCCATTCGTGGAACTGTGTCCTTCTCAATGCACAGACAAAATCCACTTCACATATCAGGCACTGAACTTTTCTGTACTGTGAACACCATCTGTGTAGCAACAGGGCATTTTCAGGAAACAAACATCAGTTTTCTCTCTTTCTAACCCTCTCCTTCTCCCTCCCTCCCTTCCTCTCTACAGATGTCACTGAATACTATGTCAAATCTGGCAGAAGCTACTATGCCAGAAATTTCATGTGAAGAGCCCGCCCACTCTACAGCTCTATTATATATTTGTAGACTTCTCTGGTTCGAGAGCAAAAACAAAGGAGTATTTGCATTATTTATTTTTTAAAAATCATTAATTTATCTGTTTTTATTTCTTTTGCTGCCGTTGTTGCTTCTCATATTATACACAGAGTCTGGCCCTTTGGGTATGTAGATAGATCTCAGAAAGCTTAGTGCTGCTCTCCAGCACAGCCTCTGCCTGGCTGAGGGAAAAGGAGATTCTTAGGAAGATGCAAGTCTTTCAAAGGACAATTAATCACACGAGTCACTTCAAGTGGGTGAGAGCAGAGCAAGTCCATGCTTTTGCTGATGCTCTTCTTTCCAGCTCTATATTGCTGGCCAGTTGAAAAACCGCTGTCTCCTACGGGAGGCACTATTGGGGTGTAACTTGTGTGACTGCCAGATGTACCTCGGGATAGCCCAGAAGTCATTAGACCTATTCTATCCAACCAGTTTTAGCCTTTTTAAAAAAGTTTTTATTCTTTTAATATCAAAAAAGTAGACTTCTCTCATGTCTGCAACCTCAGAGGAAGTAGGCTCAAATCCGTTTCTCCGCTTGGAGCCCAGCGAAGGGTTTTGCCTCCTTTATTTGCACGTGTGGACATCGTAGACTCGTATGCACTCCTGGCAGCGGACGTAGCAGCACCAGTGGAAGATACAGTGACACTTCTCTTTCCGTTTCTCAGTCCTCGTGTTGTGCCCACGGCCGCAGCACAAAAGGTCGCACCCGTCAATCCCGTGGGAAGTGACATTACAGATCCTGTCACGGGTCCCAAAGGAACCTGTCTCAGGGTTGGGCTCACAAAAGTTTGGTGAGTTCTCATAGTAAACCAGGTCCTTCTCAGTTGGAGCCTTGAAGAAGTTGTATTTGGGCCTGAGGGTTTCGACCCAGCCACGGGATTCTCGATGTTTTTCCACCACCATTTCAGAAGCGCTGTCGTACTTGTCCTTGAGGTAGTCACCGATGACCCTGAAGTCTGGCTGAGACCACCAGCAGGTCTTCACTTCACAGCTGCCTGAGAGGCCGTGACATTTGCACTTAAGATGCATGAGTTCAATAATAGACTGAAAAAGAGGAGAAGAAAGGCAAAGAAGAAGGAAGACGTTAGCCTGGAGTCAAACCACATATTGCGTTCTGCTATTTAGCTAGGATTTCCTAAAGAGTTGCAGTGTTTTCATAGATGCATTTCCACACTTGTCAGCCAAAATCACTGTATTCTCCTGTCAATGCCCTGCACAGATGCTGGGCCTAAGGCAGATAAATCCCCTGCAAATTTATCATTTTCAGTAACTATTTTTGATTCACACTCCAACTTTATGCGTCTACCAAGTGCTTTCACTAAGGCCTGAAGAGATTTCTGTGCATACAAGCTTCTACCTTATCAGTGCTCACATGTGAATATTGCAGTAGTGTCACCCAAGAACAGACTTCAGACACATCTAGAAAAAACAAATTTGAAGAATTCATATTTTAACATAAAACACTGTCCTGGAATAAATGGAAAGGCAATTATTGATTCCAGAAGTTTTCTATTCATTTTTACCTTTAATGAAACTAGCCTAAAGGTGTCTAGAGGTGTTGCCCTCCAGTATTCTGAGGTGGGAGACAGCCTTATGCAACTTACTTGATAATCTGCATTTTCAGACTGATCAGCAAATTTCTGGGTACATGAACAGACTAGTGCCAGCCTGAGTCCAAAAAAGATTTGCCATGAATCAGCACCTTAGTGTTCACCAGGTGCTTTCCTGTGTTATTTAAGGAGTATCACCCGCCACAAAGGAGGTTGTAATTAGCAATGAGAATGAACCACAAAATGTTTGGTTCGTATAATCATGCTGAACTTAATCAAAGCTTCTGGCGTAGTGGTAGGGTTTGAGTTCATATGGGAACTAATATGAAGCATTGCCTATGGCTCAGGTTTAGCTGGAAACACTTGAGTATGGAGGCCTGGAAGATCTACCCCGTGAGTGCTGGCATGGTGAGAATGGAAAATGCCAGTGCTTTATAAAACAGTACGATTTCATATAATGGTGTGACCTCTGCTCTCCAATCTTTGACATCTGTAAAGAGTTCAAAAATAACTCAGTGTCGAGTAACAAGACCTACAGTGAAAAGGTCTCTGTGGGCATGTCATCGCAGGGATTTCTACTCAAAGCTCTATTTTTTCAAGGATTCTCACTTTAAGGTACATCTCTCCTTTCCGCTCTACCCAGCTTCATTACAGCCCTATTTGTCTCATTGTCTATTTATTCCAGCAACTGCCACCAGCAATGTACCTTGGGGTACCTGGGATAATTTGGAAGAAACCACCTTATTGCTTGCAGCCAGCTACAGCGCAGGCAATTTTTGTTTCTAGTAGTACTTCATTTTGAAAGTTTGTATTCTCTGTTTCAGACTGGCTCTCCTGTGGTGCGAGGTGGGATAACTTCACCCAGGTTTGATGATGTCCACCTCAGGAGCTCACACCAAAGTTCTAGCCTGCCTGAGGACAACTGTTTCTTAGCACAGTGCACCTGTGGTGGCTTTTCTATAGCTCACTGCACAGTTTTATGTCCTCCTAAACATGGGTAAAGCCTTCTGCTGAGGGACCAAGATCATATTAATCTGTTCTGATTGCAAAGAAGTATCTTCCTTCCACTGAGGGATGGGTTCTCTCAAGTTTACAACACGAGAAAAAATACTGTTATCTCAGAGAAGCTGTGGTGTGATCTCCATTAGCACGAGCTTTGTGGTTCAGTTTCACAGATTGTTTCCTGCAGATTACATCCTCCTGCCATTTATGGACTACTGTTGAGATGAAAAAGAGAATGTCCTCTGACTGGAATTGTTCCAATTTACAGAAGAGATTTGCTGTGCATGAGGTAGTCACTGTGATAAGGGGAAGATTTTGCGCTTTCTGTTCCCTCATATATTTTGCTCCGAGACTGTTTGAAGCAAAAACAGATTATCTGGCTTTAAGACATGGTCTAAGTTTAATCAGAAGGTACCAGAGTCACATTCCCTCTTATGTTCTTTAAATATTTGGAGGGAAATAAAACAATGATGAGAAGAGGGGTGGTGGGAAAGACTCTTCTGGTCTTACCCACCCTCAAGCCTACAGAGTAGAGTGGTGATCCTAGGGGAAAGGATGGTTGCACTCAGTTAGGATTCAGTTGTCTAAACACATGCATCTAATGCCATTTCAGAATTCATGGAGTGTCTAAAGGCATCAGTTCCAGGATGGCTGAGGACCTTCAGGAGACACAGGGACTTTCCCAGTAGCAGCCCAGAGACAAGCTGGATACTTCAGGATATCTCAGTTTGTACAAAATACCTTTGCTTAAGCAGCTGAATGCTCTCTGTAAACCCTGGTCCATCTCCCTCAACCTTAGATGTCTACATCTCTGGCCATAAAACTCCCTTCCAACCGCCAGTGGAAGGGATCAGGCATGGCTAGGGCATCATTGATTGAGCTGTTTATTTCAAATGTTTCCTTCACCTGGAATGAAATCCCATCCTATGCCTGTCTGTCTTGATTCACTCTCTATAAAAGAGGTCTGGAAAGATGTCCATAGACATTTATATCTGGGTAGGTGAATTTACTTAAAGCTTTCACAGATCACGGAATCACAGGATGGCAGGGGTTGGAAGGGACCTCTGAAGATCATCTACTCCAAGCCCCCTGCCAGAGCAGGATCATGTAGAGTAGATCACACAGGAGCACGTCTGGACAGGTTTTGAATGTCTCCAGAGACGGAGACTCCACAACCTCTCTGGGCAACGTGTTCCAGTGCTATTATCCAGATCAGGAACATGGATCACCTCCCTGACAAGAACTATCATAGGTCAGACATCGCTTCATGATGTAAAACCGCCCAGATTTATGTTTGTTTATTCCCCTCAGTTCCCTCCCACTGGTCATTATAGCAGGTAAGAAAAGATTAAAGGGAGATCGGGAAAGGTGAAACTGAATGTCCTTACGGTCCTTCCTGCTTCGTTGTTGTGCCTGTTCATGGCTGACCGAGCATCTGGTCTGTTCTCTCGGGCATCTGCAAACTCCCGAGACACCATGCTCCCAAACTCCACGTCCTCGCTGCAGCCCCCCCATTTCCAGCCTTCCCCAGGAGAGCCCTTGTGACGGGTGTCACAGCCGCAGATGGTGGCCGAGCCCTCGGCACAGGATCTGGTCACTGCGAAAGCCACTCCAGCAGAGGCAATGGCATGGACGAAGGCTGATTCTCGGGTAGCTGTGAAAGAGAGAAATCAATGAATAGCGGCCAGCGAAGGGCCCACGCACGGCTTTGATCATCCCTGTGAACACCTTCTCTCGAGGGCATGGCAGAAGACCAGGAAACTCTCCTCTTCCCTGTGGTCCGGCTTGGTCCTGCTCCAAAGACATTTTCTTATACTAGGAAATAAGCTCTTGTGCAGACAGGACCAGGCTTGACTCAAGGCCAGTGAGGTCAGCCAAGAAGTTTTGACTAAGGTCATCGTAAGTTCTTAGGGTCATGGCAAAATAAAAGAAGTGCAAACGTGAGTTTCAGGGGACACATACTGTATGGTACTTTGCAGGAAATGCACCACATAGCCAGACCCTGAGCTGCAATCTTGGCATCAGATGCACAGAATCTGGGCTATGTTGCCATAACATGGAGAATGCAGGTCTACGCTTAATGACAGTCTTCACCCTTAGTGGTGGGACCAGCACCAGGTAAAGCACCCTCTCCTTGACTGGGAGAGCTGCTAATGGCTAGAAGGTAGGAAAATGCCAGGATGGCCAGATACTCCCCAGTTCTCGCTGTGTAAACACTGTCCCCACCCTCCATCCTGAGACCACCTTCTTTGTCCTGGGCTGTTTGTCTCCCTTAGAGACAATGTTCAATATATGGTGTTCATCCTGCATCTATCCAAAGGTTTGCTCACGTGCCTAATTAAGGCCCCTGCCAAAGGGACTGGAAATGAGCTTTTTTTTCCTGCCCATTGCCTTGGGATGATGGGTGGGATCAGACAAAAGATGTCATGGTTAGGGGATGAGAAGACTTAATGTCTACGAAGGTGCTTTCGTCATAGCCATCAATCCTGGCTGGGGCAGGGTGAAGAAGGGCAGCTCATCTCTGCCTTTCCTGGATGCCAGTGCTTTTTCTACACCATGCCAAAACGAAAACCAAACGTTTCAAACTGCTTTGCGAATATACCAAACACACCCAAACATCAATTTTATTCAACCCTTCCTCTAGTTTTGCTCTCGTTATATTTCTTCACTCACTAGAAATGACCCTGGAGTTCAACACCGTGCCTCAGAAAACACCACTGCAATGCTTTTTGGTTTCCGCAAAATGACATTTTTACCATGAACAAGGCTATTTTTAAGCCCTTGAGGCAATTCTAAGAAGACAAAATGATTCTTAGAACTGGCCTCTCTTCATGTCCTATATCATTCCCCATACAAGCTCATCTAGTGACTATAGACCAGTTAGCCACTACAGCATGTTGTCTCTGACACCTTGCAAATGATTAGGCTAGGACAGTGTTGAAAAATGAATGAATCCATAAAGGCAGAAGGTCAGATTTTCAGTTGATGCAGCTTCACCAGCTTCTACTGAGCTTTGCATCAGCTGACAAGGTGCCTACCCAAAACCACTCAAACCTTCACTGCACCATGTTTTGCTGAGCTGAGCTTTCCCTGGGCATTTTGGCTTAATCTCTGCCTTCTAGATGCTTCCAGGCTTCACTAATGTGAGGAGAGTTTAATACACCAAGCCAAAAAGCCAACAGGTTCCTGGGGAGAAATCAAAACTGCATGCTTGCAGAGCAGTCCAGGCTGGATTGAAGGCTTAAGCAAGAATTTGTGCAGCACTGCTTTGCTTTGGGAAGACTACCAAATACAACAGTATGCAAATCAAATAATGTGCATGAACTTACAAGCCGAAGATATGAGCAATGTCCTGGAACATGTTGTCAAGGCACATCGGGAGGTTACTAAGTCACCGAGGGCTAGAACCAAAAAAGGAAAGTGCAGGAACCTTCAGTTCCACAATGTGATTTTGAAAAACCCTTGTTCAGCACCTGTCCAGCCTGGAGGATCCCAGCTTCCTGCAGATGGTGACCATGCAGTTCTTGAGCTGTGTGAAAGTTCAGCTTTTGAGCATGAACAGATGAGTCTAGTTCTAACATGACTGAGGACTTGGCATCTTGCACTTGCCTAAGCCCAGGTGGGATCCAGAAATCAAATCGTGGCTTTGGAGATAATTTTATGATGTCTCCAAGGACATTGATGACCAGCCCTGGGGTCTGTGAAAGGCTTCTCATCGAAGCCAGTCAGATAAGCTAGTGGGATGAATGTCATTACCCTCTGGTAGAGAGGTAGAGGGTATAGTGCCTGATCAGAGAAGAGCTGAAACGCTTTCCACCTCCTCCCATTGTGACCTAACTGACCTTGAAACCTTTACATAGAATCATACAATGGTTTGAGTTGGAAGGGACCTTGAAGATCATCCAGTTCCAACTCCACTGCTATGGGCAGGGACATCTCCGACTAGACCAGGTTGCACAAAGCCCCGTCTAACCTAGACTCAACTTCTCTGTGCAACCTATTCCAGTGCAACCTATTCACTCTCACAGCGAAAAATTTATTCCTAATATCTAATCTAAATCTACTTTCTTTCAGTTTAAAGCCATTACTCCGTGTCCTATCACTACATGCCCTTGTAAAACATCCCTCTCCAGCTTTCCTGTAGCGCCCTTTAAGCACTGCAAGGCTGTTTTAAGGCCTCCCCAGAACCTTCTCTTCTCCAGACTGAAAAATCCCAACTCTCTCAGCCTGTCCTCTTAGGGGAGGTGCTCCAACCACTGATCGTCTTTGTGGCTTTCCTCTAGACCTGTTCCAATAGGTTCATGTTCTTGTGTTGGAAGCCCCAGAGCTGGACACAGAACTGCAGGTGGGGTTTCAGCAGAGTAGAGCACAGGAAGAGAATCACCTCCCTTGCCTGGATGGACACACTTCTGTCATGCAGCCCAGGATGTGATTGGCTTTCTGGATTGTGAGCGCACATTGCTGTGTCATGCTAAGTAAAGTTTCCACAAAGATCCGCTCCGTGATCTTATTGGGCACAAAGGTGAGTCTGACTGGTCTGTAGTTCCCTAGGTCTTCCTTTTTGCACATTTTAAAA